GGCTTGTGCATTTTCTTTTCATTTCTTTCTTTCTTTTTTTAAGAGATAGGGGAAGGCCAGGTGCAGTGGCTCATGCCTGTAATCCCAGCACTTTGAGAGGCTGAGGCAGGCAGACCACCTGAGGTCAGGAGTTTGAGACCAGCCTGACCAACAGGCTGGAGAAACCCCATCTCTACTAAAAATACAAAATTAGCTGGGTGTGGTGGTGGACATTGGTAATCCCAGCTACTTAGGAGGGTGAGGCAAGAGAATCGCTTGGACCTGGAGGCAAAGATTGCAGTGAGCTGAGATTACGCCTAGCCTAGATTATGCCATTGCATTCCAGCCTGGGCAACAAGAGTGAAACTACAACTAAAAAAAAAAGGGGGGGGTCACACTCTGTCACCCAGGCTTGAGGGTAGTAGCATAATCATAACTCACTGCAACCTCAAACTCTTGGGCTCAAGTAATACTTCTACCTCAGCCTCCTGAATAGCTGGGACTACCAGTGTGCTACCATGTGTGGCCTAATTCTTTAATTTTTTTGTAGCGATGGGGTTTCACTATGTTGTCTAGGCTAGTCTTAAACTCCTGACCTCAAGTGATCCTCCTGCCTCAATTGGAGGATTCCAAAGTACTGTGATTACAGGTGTGAGCCACTGAGCCCGGCGTCTTTTTTCTTTTTTTTTTTTTTTTGGAGGCAGGGTCTTACTCTGTCGCCCAGATTGGAGTGAAGCAGCAGCTCAGTCTCGGCTCACTGCAACCTCTGCCTTCCAGGCTCTGGTGATCCTCCTGCCCCAGCTTCCCTGGGATGACAGGCATGTGCCACAATGCCTAGCTAATTTCTTTTGTATTTTCTGTAGAGATGGCATTTAGCCATGTTGGCCGAGCTGGTCTCAAACTCCTGGATTCAAGTGATCCACCCACCTCAGCCTCCCAAAGTGCTGGTTTTACAGGTGTGAGCCACCACATCTGGCCTCTCTGGCATTTTCAAAGCTGACCATGCTATATATACTAATCCTTGCTTTTCCTTCTCTTTTTTTTTGAGACGGAGTCTCACTCTGTCACCCAGGCTGGAGTGCAGTAGCGTGATCTCAGCTCACTGCAACCTCTGCCTCCTTGGTTCAAGTGATTCTCCTGCCTCAGCCTCCTGAGTAGCTGGGATTACTGCAGCACACCACCATGCCCAGCCAATTTTTTGTATTTTTAGTAGAGATGGGGTTCACCATGTTGCTGAGGCTGGTCTCAAACTCCTGACCTCATGATCTGCCTGCCTCGGCCCCCCCAAAGTGCTGGGGTTACAGATGAGAGCCACTGTGTCCAGTTACTTTTTTTTTTTTTTTTTTTAATAGTCCACTGGTCTTTTATTTTTTATTTATTTAGTTTTTTTTTTTTTTTTTTTTTGGACGGTGTCTCCCCCCTTCTCCCAGGCTGGAGTACAGTGGCACGATCTTGGCTCACTGCAACTTCTACCTCCCAGGCTGAAGTGATTCCCCTTGCCACAGCCCCCCAAGTAGCTGGGATTACGGGTGCATACCATCTCGCCTGGCTAATTTTTGTATTTTTAATAGAGATTGGGTTTCACTATGTTGGCCAGCCTGGTCTTGAAATCCTAACTTTAAGTGATCCACCCACCCTGGCCTCCCAAAGTGCTGGGATTACAGGCATGAGCCACCATGCCTGGCCTATTTTTGTTTTTTCACATCTATTAAGCCATGAATTAACAGGGAATAGGTTTGGGCGGCTCAGGCTCCCTTCCACTGGTTATCACAAAGTGTGCTTCTCTGGGTGAAGCAGGCTGGCACTTCTGTTGAACCTAGGTACCTTTCTCTTTGGCTTCCTTCTTTTTCTGATCATTTTCCTTCAGGCCTTTCGAAGCTGTCTCAGCTCTTAGAGTTATTAATGTGCTCAATATATACATGAATTCTCTTGGCAAGAATCTTGCCCTTAACTTGTTCATTTACAACAATGCCAATAGCATGCTGGGTAATATTGTAGACTACTCCAGTTTTGCCATGATAACACTCGTGGGACATTCCTTTTTCAACAGCACCCATTCCCCCATTCCCTGGATGTCTACATTACTTTTCTTACAGATCTACATGTATGTAGCCAAAGGAACAACTCCAGGTTTTCTTTTCCCTTCCTTTTTCAGTTTAGTTTAGTTTTTGTTGTTGTTGTTGTTGTTGTTTTTGAGACAGTATCTTGCTTTGTCACCCAGGCTAGAGTGCAATGGCACAATCTCGGCTCATTGCAACCTTCATCTCCTGGGTTCAAGCAATTCTTGTGCCTTAGCTTCCAGAGTAGCTGGGACTACAGGTGTGTGCCACCACACTTGGCTAATTTTTGTAATTTTTTTTTTTTTTTTTGAGACACAGACTCCCTCTATTCCCCAGGCTGGAGTGCAGTGGTGCAATCTCGGCTGACTGCAACCTCCACCTCCTGGGTTCAAGCAATTCTCATGCTTCAGCCTCCTGAGTAGCTGGGATTACAAGTGCACACCACCACATCCAGCTAGTTTTTTAGTACAGATGGGGTTTCACCATATTGGCCAGGCTGGTTTCAAACTCCTGACCTCGTGATCCGCCCACCTTAGCCTCCTGAAGTGCGGGGATTACAGATGTCAGCCACTGCACCTGACCAATTTTTGTATTTTTTTTAGTAGAGACAGGGTTTCACATTGTTGGCCAGGTTGGTCTCAAATTCCTGACGTCAAATGTTCCACCTGCCTCAACCTCCCAAAGTGCTGGGATTTTTTTGGGGGGAGGAGACGGAATTTCACTCTTTTTGCCCAGGCTGGAGTACAATGGCGCAATCTCGGCTGAGCCATCATGTTATCTGAGATAGATATGTCATACTATTGATAACATACTGTATATGATCTTGACATCATCTCCAATAAGGCAGATCTCCAAGTATTCATGGGAAATGACTTCTAGCCAGGTACAGTGGCATGCACCTGTAGTCCCAGCTACTTGGTATGCCGAGGTGGATCGCTTGAGTCTAGGAGTTCTGGACTGTATGTATTAAATTTAAAAAGATGAATGTGTACAGTGGCTCACACCTGTAATCCCAACATTTTAGGAGGCCGAGGCAGGCGGATCACTTGAGGTCAGGAGTTTGAGACCAGTCTAGTATACATGGCAAAACCCTGTCTCTAGTAAAAATATAACAATTAGCCAGGCATGGTGGCGTGTGTCTATAGTCCTAGATAGTTGGGATGCTATGCTACCAATAAATATTGAGTCTAATAAGGTAACAAAAAAAAATAAAAGGAAAAGAAAAAAATGCAGTTGGGAGGCGGGGGCACGAGAATCGCTTGAAGCTGGGAGGCAGAGGTTGTAGTAAGCCAGGATCACACCACTGCACTCCAGCCTGGGTGACAGAGCAAGACCCTGTCTAAAAACAAACAAACAAACAGCAAAAAGCAGCAGATATAGGATGATCCCTTTGGTTTAAATAATACAACTATTCCTATACATTAATATACATTGATGCATAGAATAAAAATCTAAGCTGGGCAGGCAGTTATAGGTCCAGCGACTAAGGAAGCTGAGGTAAGAGGATTTCTGGGGCCCATGAGTTCAAGGCTGTAGTCAGCTGTGATTGTGCCTGTGAACAGCCACTGCATTCTAGCTTGGGCAACATAGTGAAAGCTTATTGGTACAAAAAAAAAAAAAAGAAAGAAAGAAAGAAATTTTAAAAAATAGCCAAGTGTGGTGAGGCATGGGTATAGTCCTATGTACTAAGGAGGGTGAGGAGGGATGTGATACCCTGCTTTTTGCCAGCTAAAGCTAACTCTCCTTTCCCTGACTAAAAGCTGTTCAGGCTTTATGTTAGCCTTTTCGAGCTGAAAAGACTCTGTCTTGGCTTCTTCATTTTAGTAACCTTCTCCCCGTTAAGTATGTAACTATAGTATACAGCAAGGTCAGACTGACTCTGGGCACCCAGAAATGCCTTTGTCGATAAGAGGCTGAGTAAAGTGGTATCAGCAAAGCCTGGAAATGCAGCTGCAGTGAGCGCCTAGAGCCCACCTTGTCTATAAGTTGTATGTCTTTCAAGACAGTGGTACTCCTCACACCTGGCACTGTTTTATTTCTTATATATCAGTTTTTCTTTTTAACTTTTGGCTTACTCTGTGTTAAAACTTTGTTTCAGCTAGGTTCCCCCCTTCCTGGTAAAACTAGTGTATAAAAGATGACCTAACCTTTTCTTCGGGGCCGAGAGAATTTTGGGCATTAGCCACTCTCAGTCGACGGCTTAATAAAGGACTCATAAATCATTCTCAGAGTGTGGCACATTCCTTGACTCGCTCACGTACAACAGGGAGAATTGCTTGAGTAGAGGAGGGTGAGGCTGCACTGAACTGTGATCATGCCACTGCACTCCAGCATGGCTGACAGAGTGAGATCTTGTCTTTATAACTTAATAAATAAATAAATAAGCCGAGTGCTGTGGCTCACGCCCATAATCCCAGCACTTTGGGAGGCCGAAGTGGGTGGATCACTGAGGCCAGGAGTTTGAAACCAGCCTGGCCAACACCACAAAACCCCCGTCTCTACTAAAAGTACTAAACAATTAGCTGGGCGTGGTGGCACACACGAGTAATTTCAGCTATATGGGAGGCTGAGGCACGAGAATCTCTTGAACCTGAGAGGCAGAGGTTGCAGTAAGCCAATATTGTGCCACTGCACTCCAGCCTGGGCGACAGAGCAGGACTCTGTCTCATAAATAAATAAATAACATGTGAACCATGAAGTAACAAGACTATTTTTATTAAAGTGACTCAACCAGATAAACATTGGAGCTATCTTTGTGGAGTTAGGGTAAGCACTATGGAAGACAAAAAGAATGAGACATTGCCGTCCTAAAAGATTTCTGGAGACAGCTTTTGGAAGTGCCTTTACTGCCTGAATATGCTCTCCAGGTTGAATTTAATTTGTAGCAATGGCCAAAAGCCATCTAGTTGGGTCTAGTTATCAACCTGGATATGTAATTTTGTCTAAATTGTGACTCTACAGTAGAGTGACAGGTTTTATTATGTGACTTGTAAAGCAGCAGCTCCAAATTACTTCCAAAAACATTAATTGTCAGCAACAATGATAAATTAAGTGGATAATGCAACAAGACAAGGTAACTACAGGGAAGAACAGCTTAAAATGGATACATTCTGGTTCCCTTAAAAAAACAAAAACCCCAGTAACAACAAACTAGTTGTTAATACCTATTCACCCAGCCCTGGATACCTTCCTGTTCTTTTTTCCATTTCTGATCATCTTCTGCATAATCGCCAGGGGTGCAAAATTAGGGGCCAGAAGATATTCACAAATTTCAATATTCTGTAATACAGAGTTAGAAGGAAGTGTCAATGAACGAGTTACAATTACATCCTTTATTTCTTGCAGGTAATAATTTGTTTTCTCATGCTTTGTTAAGATAAAGGGTTAGGCCAAGGAGGGAGAATCACTTGAGGCCAAAGTTTGAGATCAGCTCCGCCAGCATAGTGAGACCCTGTGACTACAATTTTTTTTTTTTTTTTTTTTTTTGAGACAGAGTCTTGCTCTGTCACTCAGGTGGGAGTGCAGTGGTTCAATCTTGGCTCACTGCAACCTCCACCTCTTGGGCTCAAGTGATTCTCCTCCCTCAGCCTCCCAAGTAACTGGGATTACAGGTGTGCACCACCATGCCCAGCTAACTTTTTTGTTTGTTTTTGAAATGGAGTTTCGCTCTTGTTGCCCAGGCTGGAGTGCAATGGCGCAATCTCCACTCACTGCAACCTCTGCCTCTCAGGTTCAAGCAATTTTCTTGCCTCAGCCTCCAGAGTAGCTGGGATTACAGGCAACTGCTACCGTACCTGGCTAATTTTTTAGTAGAGACGGGGTTTCACCATGTTGGTCAGGCTGGTCTTGAACTCCTGATCTCAGGTGATGTACCTGCCTTGGCCTCCCAAAGTACTGGGATTACAAATGTGAGCCATCATGCCTGGGCTCTAATTTTTTTCTTTTTTTGTAACTTTTGCATTTTTAGTAGAAATGGGGTTTCACCATGTTTGCTAAGCTGGTCTCAAACTCCCGACCTCAAGTGATCCACCCGCCTCAGCTTCCCAAAGTACTGGGATTACAGGCGTGCACCACTGCACCCAGCCAATTGCAAAAAATTTAAAACATTAGCTGGGTGTAGTGGCACATGACTATAGTCCCAGCTACTTGGGAGGCTGAGGTGGGAGGATCACATGAGCCCAGAAGGTCAAGGCTGTAGTGAACCATGAATGCAACACTGCACTCGAGCCTGGGCAACAGAGCAAGACCCTGTCATAAATGAATAAATTAATAAATAGATAAATGAATGAATGAAAAAAATTCAATTTTTAACTTTGCTTAGGACCCATTAGTGATTTGTGATTACCTCTGGTTAAGCATGAGCAAACACGATAGAAAAGAAACAATTTCGCTGGGAGCAGTGGTTCACATCTGTAATCCCAGCACTTTGTGAGGCCAAGGCAGGAGGATCACGAGGTCAAGAGATCGAGACCATCCTGGCCAATATGGTGAAACCCTGTTTCTACTAAAAATACAAAAATTAGCTGGGTGTGGTGGCGTGTGTCTGTAGTCCCAGTTACTCGGGAGGCTAAGACAGGAGAATTTGCTTGAACCTGGGAGGCGGGAGGTTGTAGTGAGCCGTGATTGCACAACTGTACTCCAGCCAGCCTGGGTGATACAGCAAGGCTCTCTCAAAAAAAAAAAAAAGAAAAAAAGAAACTTTGAAACTATTTTACTGGTATCCTATTGCATCAATATATTCTGAAACCAGGGGCCATAAGGAAACATTTCATTACTTGGACTTAAAAAAAGAAAATGCCATGTAGACTGTTTTTTTTTTTTTTTTGAGACAGAGTTTCGCCTTGTCACCCAGGCTGGAGTGCAGTGGTATGATCTCCGCTCACTGCAACCTCCACCTCCTGGGTTGATGTAATTCTCAGCCTCCAGAGTAGCTGGGATTACAGGCATGCACCACCACGTCCAGCTAATTTTTTTGGTATTTTTGGTAGAGATGGGTTTTCACAATGTTGGCCAGGCTGGTCTTGAATTCCTGACCTCAGGTAATCCACCTGCCTCGGCCTCCCAAAGTGCTGGGATTATAGGCATGAGCCACCATGCCTGGCCTTTTTTTTTGAGACAGAGTCTCACTCCATTGCCAAGGTTGATGTGCAGTGGCACAATCTTGGGTCACTGCAACATCCACCTCCTAGGTTCAAGTGACTCTTCTGTCTTAGCCTCCTGAGTATCTGAGATTACAAGTGCCTGCCACCACACCTGTCTAATTTTTTTTTTTTTTTTGAGATGGAGTTTCACTCTTGTTGCCCAGGCTGGAGTGCAATGGTGCGACCTTGGCTCACCACAACCTCTGCCTCCCGGGTTCAAGCAATTCTCCTGCCTCGGCCTCCCAGGTAGGTGGGATTATAGGCATGCACCACTACACCTGGCTAATTTTGTATTTTTAGTAGAGACGGGGTTTCTCCATGTCGGTCAGGCTGGTCTCGAACTCCCAACCTCAGGTGATCTCCCTGCCTCAGCCTCCCAAAGTGCTGGGATTACAGGCGTGAGCCATTGCACCTGGCTTAATTTTTGTATTTTTAGTAGAGCCAAGGTTTCACCATGTTAGCCAGGCTGGTCTCAACCTCCTGACCTACTAAAACGATCCACTCGCCTTGGCCTCCCAAAGCACTGGGATTACAGGAGTGAGCCACCATATCCAGCCTGCTTTCCATTTTTAAAAGATGAGAATTAAGTGAGTGGGCTGGGTGTAGTAGCTCATGCCCGTAGTTCCGGCAACTTTGGGAGGCTGAGGGAGGTGGATTGCTTGAGCTCAGTAGTTCAAGACCAGCCAGGGCAACATGGTGAGACCTCCTCTCTACAAAAATACAAAAATTAGCTGGGCATGGTGGCACATGCCTGTGGTCCCAGCTACTAAAGAGGCTGAGGTGGGAAGATCACTTGAGAGTGAGAGTTTGAGGTTACAGTGAGCTACGATTTGGCCTGCACTCCAGCCTGGGTGACAAAGCAAGATCCTGTCCCTGTCTCTCTCTCCCTCCGTATGAGGGGGACAGAGAGACAGGGACAGGATCACATATATGTAAAAGGAAGGAGAAGGGGTTACATTTCCAGGTTTGAAAAATTTCACAGAATAATTTTAAGCTGCAAGAGACCTACGCCTAACTTCTTCCTTTTAGGGATCTCAAAACTACCCCATGTTTATTGGACCCACGTGGCCAGGTGGGGTGCTTTGCAAGCCCCAGAAGAGGTCGTGTGATGTTTTTTTTCCTTGGACTCACATGTAGAGGAAGCACATACACCCTGGAGAGCTGACTTGGGGTTGAGCCTTTTTTTTTTTTTTTTTTATAGAGAGTCTTGATCTGTCACCCAGGCTAGAGAGTGCAGTGGCACAATCTCGACTCACTGCAACCTCCCCCTCCCAGGTTCAAGTGATTTTCCTGCCTCAGCCTCCGGAGTAGCTGGGACTATAGGGGCGCGCCACCACACCCGGCTAATTTTTTTCTATTTTTAGTAGAGATGGAGTTTCACTGCATTAGTCAGTATGATCTGGAGCTCATGATCCGCCCACCTCAGCATCCCAAAGTGCTGGGATTACAGGAGTGAGGGACCACGCTATGCCTTTTTTTTTTTTTTTTTTTTTTGAGACAGAATCTTGCTCTGTCGCCCAGGCTAGAGTGCAGTGGCATGATCTCACTGCACAACCTCCGCCTCCTAGGTTAAAGTGATTCTCCTGCCTCAGCCTCCTGAGTAGCTGGGAGTACAGGCATGCACCGCCACACCAGGCTAATTTTCGTATTTTTAGTAGAGGCGAGGTTCACTATGTTGGCCAGGATGGTCTCCAACCCCCGGCCTCAAGCCATCTGCCTGCCAAGGCCTCTCAAACGCTACGATAACAGGCCTGAGCCACCGTGCCTGGGATTACAGGGTTGAGTCTTAAGGATGGGAAGAGCAGGGTGTGGTGGCTCATGCCTGTAATCCTAGCACTTTGGGAAGCCGAGGCAGAAGGATCACTTGAGCCCACAAGACAGAGAGCAGCCTGCGCAACATAGTGAGACCCGTCTTTACAAAAAATAGTTAGCTGGGTGTGGTGGTGCACACCTGTAGTCTCAGCTACCTGGGAAGCTGAAACAGGAGGATCGCTTGAGGCCAGCAGGTTGAGGCTGCAGTGAACTTTGTACCACTGCACTCCAACCTGGAGGACAGAGTAAGACCACGTCTCTTTAAAAAAGAAAACGGGTGGGTTGGAAGAAGGTCGGCAGGGGACATAAAAGAGCAAAGGTGCTACCTCCCTGCACCTTTAGATCCCAGGGGCAGTCTTGACCTTGCTTGCAGCCTTCTCTCATCTTTCCTCCATTTCACCCCAGCCCCGGCGCCCCCATCGCAGCTCTCTCGTCTCAGCCTCCCCACCTGGAGTCCTCCCTCAGACAGGGCTCTGTCCTCCGCCTCCACTATCAGTCTTTGGGGTTCCTCCTCACCGTCCTCCCTCCCTGTGAGGGTCTGTCTTCAGACATTTCTCAGTATTTTGGAGGTCTCTCTCAGCCTTCAGATCTTTTCCCACGGGCCCAGTCTGCAGTCCGCGCGTTTCCCCCAGCCCCCTCCACCGTTCAGAATGGGGGTCCCCTCCTTCAGTCCGCGGCATCCCCCGCTCACCTCGCAACCACGGTCTTTTCGGAGCTCGTTCGCGCCGGGCACGGGGGCGGGGCGCGCACACCGGGCGGCGGCAGTGGTGCGGGGCCGCGCGCGCAGCGTGCGCGGTGACGTCAGTGCGCTGGCGGCGGCGGCGGCAGCAGGGCTGTTTGTTCTGTTCTCCCGCAGCCGAAGAGCCGAAGCAGTGGCGGCGGCAGCGGCGGCGGCGGCTGCCGGCGGTGCCCGCGGGCGAGCGCGGCCTGTGAGATCGGGGGAGCGGCGGGCGGGCCCCGGCGCCGCGCAGGCAGCCCGGGGAGCGGGCGACGGCAGCGGGCTGACGGCCGGCGGGGGTGGCGTGCGGCCTAGCGTCTCAGGTGAGGACCGGTGCCGTTCGGGGCGGCGGACGGCGCTGGGCGGCCGGCGGGGGCTCGCGGCGCGGCCCGCGTAACCTGCATTGCGTAATGGGGCCGGTGCGCCGCCACCTACGCCATCGGCGCGGCGCGGGGGCGGGGAGGCCGGGGCTACGCGGGCTCGGGCCTGCTGGCCTCCCGCGCTGCTCGCGCGGGGCCAGGACGGCCTGCGTCGTTTGCTTCGGGGCGGCGGGGTCGCTCGTGGCCGCCTCGCCATTGGTGCCGTCGGACCCGACCTCCGGCCGGCCGGTGGGGCGCGGGCTGGGGGCGCGGGCGCCGCCGCGGGGCGGGCGGCCGGGGGCGGGTGGGGGGCGGGCCGAGGCGCCCGGCACTTCCTGCCGCCGCCATTTTGTCAAGTGAGGAGGAGGAGGAGGAGGAGGAGGAAGCGGCCGCCGCGGGGTTTGCGGCGCGCCCGGCCCGGGTAAGTCCGGGCCTGGCGCGGGGCCCGCGAGCGCCGCTGTCTCCGTCTGCGGTCCCTTAGGCTGGCGCGGGCCTGGCCCCGGCGCTCACGTGGGCTGGGCCCGGCGCGCTCTCACTCTGGCACTCAGGTCCTTTTGCCTGGGCCGGGGCAGCTCGCCCCCGCCCCCATCACCTCACCTTCCCGGTGGTCCCGGGAGCCCTGTGGAGAAACGGGAAGGTTCCCTCCGGAAGGAGGTGATTGCCGCTTCACGCCGGTCTGAGGACAGGCCCCAGAGGGCGGGAGCGGTGCCCTGGGGGGGTGAGCTTGGCCCTCCTGACGCACCCACTCGCAGCCTGGTAGCCCCTTGCTGGGCGCTTTGTTTTGCTCGGTCGGTGCTCGCCGGCGTCCTTGCAACGGCCTCGTTTATTTCCAGTGTCCTGTGTGGCTGTGGTGGTGGTTTGGGGTGGGGACGTAGGGGAGTTGTGATTCAGCGAAATAAAATGATCCCCTTCCTCCCAAACGGAAATGGCACGGCTTCACCGGCTGAGATGCCCCCAGGGCTTGGCCTTTCATGAAGATGGGAAACCCCCCTCTGGTGTAGTGGACGGTGTAAATACTTCAGGCCCGTGCATGAGTCATGTGCTTCTGTTGGGTAGCTGACCTGCCTTTTACTCAAGACCACGCTTGATTTTTTAAGATTTTTATTTGCTTGTTTACTTCTTTACGTTTCGTGCAGCTTGGTGAGGTTTCTGGTCTTGTCATTGGGCTCATTTCTCTGTGTGTGTGTTGGATGCAAGTGACCCTTTGGAATCTATACCCCACGAGAATTGAAATGTCTTTGCTTACCTTCGACGGGATTGTAACAGCCCGTGGTTCCAAAAACCAAGTCGCAGTTTACCTCTAAGCCAGTGGCTCCAAGGATCTAATAATGTAATGGTCAGGAGTTGTTTTTTTTTTTTTTTTTTTTTTATTATTTAATGAAAGGAACTGTCAAGTTTCCTACAAATTCCAAGGAATTTGTAGTCTTTAGGAGTTGTAAAGAAAGCGATATTCAAAAGGATTTATCAGTGTGTTTTCAATTTTAAGAAGGTTTTTGGTGGCACAATCTGTTTTATGACCTTGCCAATACTTTTTTTGGGGGGTGGGGAATAGAGTCTCTGTCACCCAGGCTGTAGTGCAGTGGCGCGATCACTGCAACCTCTGCCTCCCAGGTTCAAGAGATTCTCCTGCCTCAGCCTCCCCATTACAGGCGCCTGCCACTATGCCCAGCTAATTTTTGTATTTTTAGTTGAGACGGGGTTTCACCATGTTTGTCAGGCTGGTCTCGAACTCCTGACTTCAGATGATCCGTCCGCCTCAGACTTCCAAAGTGTTGAGATTACAGGCGTGAGCTACCTCGCCCGGCCGCCAGTAATTTAATAAAACATTTCTTTCTGTTCATTTTGGATTGGGATTATTTTTCCACTGATGGGTTGTAGATAACCACCTGCTTCCTCCAGAAACTTCAACCAGGGAAAGATAAACCACTCATGGTTTCCATTGTTCAAATGGAGAAGGCAAAGCCTAACCTGAAAAATGTATTGCTGTCTCTTATCCTCCATACATCTGACTTTAGTAGGAAACATAGTTATCTATTGGCTCAAGCTGGAATAAGCTGGTCTTAGAATGGCTTTAGTTGGTCTTAACTGGGAGGAGTAAGATACCTCCGTGTATCTTGCCCAGTGGAATTGCTGAAGATAAGGAACTTTGCCTACAGATTAAAGATAGGAAGATAGCTACTGCATTATAAGGATTGTTCGGCTTGTTTTGGGTGCTGTATGCCTAGTTTCGCTAGTCTGGTTGACAGCGGGGCAGAGTAGCTAAGAATTGCAAGAAACTCACTGGCCACTTAGTAAAATTTCCACTAAATTATTGAATTGTTTAAAGGAATTTAGACTTTGTTTCAAAAAGTTGCCTTTTTGCCAGTTGTTGTGATCTTTGTACTAAATTGTACTTTTGCTTTAGGAGCTGAGGGTAACAATATTTTCTTGTTTCACAATTCAGGTTATTGAATGACTTGAGATTTACAGATTTGAGAGAGAAATTGAATTTTGTTGTTTTTAAAGCAAAAAACCACTTGGCACCTCTCTGATTTGAAGACCCTGGGCGGTTAAATTTGCTTCTGACAGCCTAATGTCCGTTGCATTTTGTGAATGTAAAACGTTCTGGTTTCTGATTTTGAATAAACTTGTAGAGTAGAGCATGTTTGTCTTTATGGTCCTGGCAAATCGGTTAAAAGGAAAGTTAAGCTTGTCATTGGAGGCGGCTCCTAATGTTTTATAAATCTTTGTGATTTTTAGTATTTAGAGAAGAGTACATTTGCAAGGTGAGAATTGTGGGGGAATTCCTTGTTGGTGCTAACGTTTAATACATAAGAGACAAGTTTGGAAAGATAGAATTTCCTTGTTACCTAGAAAAAAGAAAAAAGAGGGACTGGGAGCTGTGGTTCACACCTGTAATTCCAGCACCGTGGGGGGCCGAGGCAGCAAGGCGGGTGGATCCCATGAGGTCGGGAGTTCAAGACCAGCCTGACCAACATGGAGAAACCCTATCTCTACTAAAAATACAAAATTAGCCGGGCGTGGTGACAGGCGCCTATAATACTAGCTACTTGGGAGCTAAGGCAGGAGAGTCCCTTGAACCCGGGAGGCGGAGGTTTTGGTGAGCCAAGATCACGCCATTGCACTCCAGCCTGGGCGACAGAGTGACTCCGTCTAAAAAAAAAAAAAAAAAAAAGGCAGAATTTAAGTTTGATGAGGACAGGGTTTTGTTTGCTTGGCTTTGCCTGTTTTTTTCTTTTGTATCTTATTCCTGGAAATAGCACCTTACATGGTCTTTAAGTGAGCATAAACCGGAGAAATAATTGAGCTTGCAAGAATTTTGCATGGTATAATGCCAAATTCCTCTTTGAAAATGTTGTTAGCCGTGAACATAATTGTTCAGTAGTGACTTAAAAGGAATGTGAGTTTTAACTAAGATGACGACGAGGTCCCTTGGAATTGCAGTAAGCTTATTACTAGTCGGAGCAGCCTGGCGTGCAGTGTTTCCACACACTACTTACTGTACATTTCCTACTTAACAGTTTGAAGTGGGGTGAGTGGCTTTGCGCTGTGGTGCAACCCTCACCTGCAAAAAGTATTTTTAAGAGGGAGATGAAGTGCGTGATACACACACAGGTAGCATTTCTTAATGTGTATCTCATGTTGTCAGTAAAAACCTGATCACTTTCTAAAATGTGATTTTTAAATATTTTGATTTTGTGTGTGCATGATTGGTTAGTCTGTCTTTACAGTTAGTCCCTGAGCCCTTACTATGTACAAAAGAAAGACCAAAAGATGTTTGTATAATGACTTTAATATGCATAGTTTTTATTAATGTGTTCACTCCTCACGTTTATTGAATGTCATTTATAATTTGAGCATAATACTATTTTAAAAATCCTACCAGACATTTTTAAAAAATAATAATTTTGAGATAAACTTTGTATTGTATATAATACAGTCATCAGTTCTTAAATTTATTCACAGATTTGCAACCATCACTGCAACCAATTTGGGGACATTTCCACCCCGCAAAACAAATTCATTATGTGTCATTCCCGACCCTCCTGCCCCCTTAGCCCCTGGAAACCACTCATATAGTCTGTCTCTAGACATCTGCCGGTTCTGGATATTGCAGGAATCCTACAATATGTAACATTTTGTGTCTGGCATTTTTCACTCATTGTACTGGCTTCAAAAGGTTTATGATGTGTAGCATGAATCAGTACTTTATTCCTTTTTATAACTGAATATTTTATTATATGGCTCTGCTGCATTTTGTTTACCCATTCATTAGTGGTGAACATTTGGGTTGTTTTCACTTTTTGGCAATTGTGAATAGTGTTGTTAAAACACATTTGTGTACTTTAAGACGGGGTCTTCTCTCTGTCACCCAGGCTGGATTGCAGTGGCAGAATCTCAGCTTACTGCAGCCTCCACCTCCTGGGTTCAAGCGATTCTCCTGTCTCAGCCTCCCAAGTAGTTGGGATTACGGGTGCCCGCCACCATGCCCGGCTAATTTTTGTATTTTTAGTGGAGACTGTGTTTCACCATGTTGGCCAAGCTGGACTTAAACTCATGCGCTCAAGTCATCCACCTGCCTTGGCCTCCAAAAGTGCTGGGATTACAGGTGTGAGCCATAGTGCCTGGCCTTTTGTGTACAGATTTTATTTTATTTTATTTTTTGAAACGGAGTTATGTTCTTGTTGCCCAGGCTGGAGTGGGATGGTGCAATCTCAGCTCAGCGCAACCTCTGCCTCCTGGGTTCAAGTGATTTCTCCTGCCTCAGCCTCCAGAGTAGCTGGGATGACAGGCATGCACCACCATGCCTGGCTAATATCTTATTTTTAGTAGAGATGGGGTTTCTCCATGTTGGTTGGACCGGTCTTGAACTCCTGACCTCAGGTGATCCCACCTCAGCCTCCCAAAGTGCTGGGATTACAGGCGTGAGCGACCGCACCCGGCCTGTGTACAGATTTTTCTCTAGGACGGATACCTGGGAGTGGAATAGCTGGGTCATACGTCTACGTTTTAAGTTTTTGAGGATGGACAATGACTTTTTAATGGCATTGGTTTTTCTATACTTAGGTAGAAGGGTTAAAATAAAAGCTTAATGGGATACTAACTATTTAAATGAATGAGGACATGGTACTGCAAGGATAGGTATCAGCAGGTTAACATGTTGTAATCCTACTGCCTGCGTGGTTTGGTCACTGTTTGGTTTTTTAAGTTGTGCAT